ATTCCGTGCACACCTGCGAACATCGACACGAACGACGATATTATGCTCCGACACCATGTGTCCCATTCGACGAGGGCGGCCATATTCGAATGCAATCCTCGGGAGACGATTATTCAAATCGTCGACTGTCTCGCGCTCGATTTATGTTAAACTGATTAGCAAACGAACGATCCTTCTGCTTATGCAAACACACAGTCGAAGCATCTCGTCGTGCACGATAATATAAATGATAAATCGCCAAATTAAATTATGCAAAGTTCCTCGACGAAGCCTCGATTCGATCGACAGAGTTATCTGGCTCCGAGGGATTCGTTTAAATAATAAATTCTTACTGAATTAATTATCTGATTTCGATAACGCTCGTTTGATACGGAGTAATTCGCTTCGTGATCGATTCCTGCGCCGAACAATGGAACTTTTGGCGAACGTCTGGCGGAGACAGGGATCATTCTACTTTTGATTTTGTTTAATCTTTGACTCGAAGAGTGTCATAATTCTCAATCATCGAATGAATTATTATTCAACGGATCTAAGTTGTTAAATAATTTTAATATAAATTTTGCATTAGTGTAAGGATGTAAGCAGTAGCTTGAAATAACGTAGGAAATTATTACAAATTGCGATCTCAATTCGGCTATTCCCACAAAATCTGTATCTTGATTATTAGGAAAAGTATTTTTATTTTTCTGAGACAAATTACAGAAATTGCAAATTATAGAACAATGAATAGATGTTCTTTCTACTTGGTCGATTTTTGGAGTTTTTCGGTTGAACTTTGTATCCATGGATAAAACGCAGCGACGAAACCTTTCGAGGACTTTAATGGTTGGAACATATCGCAGAAGAATTTCTTCAGGCGACACGCCGTCAATGGTCCCGTTGTGCTCCGTCGATAAGACGGGAAACAGGTGCATCAGCCAGCATCGATTGCATGCCCCGAGCATGCGACAGACGTCACAAAAGGTTAGTAGAAAGATCATCGTGTACTTTCCGAAAAGATTTAAATACAAGCCTCGCTGTAACGAATAAATTAATTTGATTATATGCAGCTTATCTCATCCGAGGACAGTTTAGACTTTTTCAATGTGGTTTTTATATCCTTCCTCCAGTACAAATCATCCGACATTTTGGACGAGAAATACAAAGTCAGAAATCTGTTTTACCGGTTGCTCGCGCTAACAACTCCGTTTTATGTGCCTTATCGCGTGCGAATTTGAAATTCGAACTATAAAACAGACGAAGTAACGAAAAATAGTGGAATATTATTTTTAATGGAAACATTTCGTTAGAGACAATCTTTCTAAGCTTTCTTGGCCGATCAAACATTTCCGAGCCTCTTATCTTTTATTGTGGGCAATAATGGTAACATTTTCGCCTGATAACGATAATACTGGACCTCGATTGACAGAATGTTTAGCGTTGAATAATACGTCTGCGTGGATCAACGACGATGATAGGCGATTGAATGACAAAGTAAACGAAAGTACAGAATTTTTGCGAATTACGGTACCGATGAGGAAAATACAGATTTGGCGTTGATTAAAGTTACGTCGGGAATGGTAGGCACATATTTTATTGCTCAAAAATAAAGTCCGTGTACCTCTTTCCGTACTCTTTACCAAAACGACGAGGAACCTAAGGAAAGAAGTGGAAAAAGATTACTGCAATCATCCCACCGACGACACACCCCAATATTTGACTTCCGTTCAACAATGTTTGATTATTTGCTCTGGGGACTTGTGATATTTGCTTTTTTAGTGAAAAAGCTAAAGTTAACACGTAGAACTCAATAAAAATGGTACACAAACGGTCCCAAAATAACATTCTGCAGTTTCAACTTCCTTTTCTGCTCCCTAAATTGTGATAACCTCAAAATATCAAGTATATTCTATGAATAGCATATTTCAAAGGAATTTTCAATATTTCCCAGGAGCTATCTTCTTCGTAAGAATTGTTTAACTCTGCTACGTTCCTTGGGTCTTCTTTGACCCAGACACGTTCATTTAATCTCTTCCAATTCATTCGTGTTCTGTTTTCGTTAAGAATATTTAAAATTTGGAAATAGAGTAAGAAAATAATTACTAGACCACTGCTATTATTTCAAACAATACTTCAAATACGTAGGAAAATTGATAACCGTATCAGTAAGTACAAACTAATTACTTCTAATTCTTAAATGTCCTCGGAAGCTACATTAAGTGCTCGTCCAATTAACACGTTCGCTACGTCGCATGTTTGCGACAATCGATGCTTCATGTTCTGTGCAAACAAGTTTCCGGCCAATATCGAACGCATAACGCGATATACCGGAAGTCGAGGAGATTTTTCTTCTTCGTTATCATTTCTATTTTGTACAGAAGATATACTATTTAACACGTTGACCGCCACTGTTCACCGATAGTGCTTCTAAAATGCTTGAAGACAGTTAATGTCAAAACCAGTAATCAATTCTAATACCATTTGCCTTCATCACGGAAGAATAATATTCTACAAAACGCTCAAAATGGCGGTCAGCGTGTTAATGAAATATCGTTACCAGGAAGACTGTCATTGGAAGAGATGCCGGTAGCGAAAAGGTTAATAAAGTATCAAAAGAAAACTGAAGGAAGATCTAAGTGAAACAATCGTCGACGATCGATTCCTCGAAGCCATCGATCTATCAATCGGCTTTGTCCATCCAGAGGGGACAAATGACAAATGGCAATCGATACGCTTCAAGATTGACGCCTTAAAATCTGATCGATAATTTCGAGACACAGGGGGAGGAGGGCTAAAATTGCAACAAACAATGTTCCCTCGATGGTTGTCGGCTGATAACGCGATAACATTGAGACGCGACAAGGCGGCTCGAATTTTTATCAACGGTCGATGATGCGCCAGCCCGGATCGAAAATAACGAGGCCGTTCCGTTGCACCGTGAGGCCCCGTTGACACGCGCGCAACGAAAATAAATTCCGCCGACCGCGATTTTCGGACCCTGGTAGATACTATACACATGCACACGTAATCCTGGACCGCTACGAGCAGGCTACAAAGCGTTGCTCAACGCCCTAAAAACAAACCCGGCCACGATTTTCTCGCGTTTCGGTAAAAAACGAGATCCTTGGACCGAGGCCAAACGTATTTTAACCCTTTCGCCGCTAATGGGACACGCGTGTGCAATTCGCCTTTGGAAAATCGGGAAGATGTTCGGGAAACGAGTATTGTAAGAGTGAATACGTTAAGTTGATAATTTTGCTTGTAAAGTGATTAACCCTTCGCGCTCCGAATAATTTCGATATCTCAATAGTTCTATAGCGAAACCTTTAAGGAGTAAAATTTCGTTTCGAAAAGGAGAAATTATAAATATTCATGGATGAACAGTTTGCTATATTCGAGTAAAAACGAGAAGAATTTTACAATTTGAAATTGATCGTATGATATCTATGATGCAAATTACGTGTGTACAGCAGAGCCAACGGAGTGCAAAGGGTTAATTTGTTAATACATTTGAAGAACAGTATTTGGTTTTCCAAGGTCGTTCTTTACCTGGAGATTAACTTCGTTTCTGATGGATGCACTTTGCGACGAACTCTGAAGCTAATTACTGTAATTAGAACGGGAAGTTTGGAACTAAAAATATTTAATTCGCGAAGAAAAGTGTAAGGCTCGATGTAGTTCGTAAGTGACGTTTGACAGCGTTTTCTTGAAATAGAGTCTGAAGGAAGCGATCCTCGTATCCAACGAGGAAAATGAATCCTTAAGAACATTCATTATTTATCAAGGAAATTTCCAGTCTCGTGGAACCTCGGTTCTTACACAACTCTCGCGAGCAGGAGTCTAACCTGTTTCGAATAAGGAAAGGTTTTGAAGAAAACGAACTGATATCGTTGAAAGACACGAAGTTCCAAGTTAATCTAACCCATTCGGATCTGATTTTTATGCAGCATTATGTTCGCTTGTCTAAGAAAAATAGATCTTCATTCAATGCATCATCGGTAACAACGTCATTTCGAATGAAGTAATGGTAATATACTGCTTTTCTGATAGAAATAGACTCAAAGCAAAGGTGTATGTATTTCCTGTCACGGTTTTAATGTTTTGTCAAACATCGAAGTATGTGAAGGGGTTGGGAACAACGAATCATCTTCAGTGATGAGAATGTAGGGAGTATTCTCACGTAGTTAACGAATACTGGCGAGAAAGATGACAGATTAAACGGGGAAACGGAAATTTATGGTAACAAGTGTTATCGGTATAAACGATTGGAAACGCAGATACTCGCGAAGTTCCGCGGCGACTTCCGGAAAAAATGTCACGGCTCACGGCGATGATTCCGTGACGGAACCGTGCAATTTCCTCGCGGCGACCCGACATCCTCCGCGATAATCGCGTCGGAGGACACCGGGGAGGGCTTTTATATCGTTTTGTGTATCACGTTCCAAGGAGAGGAGAAAAATAAACACGAAAACTGCGGTTGATACCTGTTCACCTTTCTGCTGGGAATTAAGAAGGAAAGGACAAGCCTGACCAATGCGACGGCGAAAATGCTCGTTGAAGAGGCTTGATACTTTTCAGTGGGACTGGAGAACTTTGTGATCATGAAAAATCGCATGGGAACGTAGACTGTTGCCATTGAAAGAATGTAATAAATATTCTGTATAAGATATTATTGCGTCAATTTATTAACTCTTTCGAATTGACAAAGCAATGATGGAACTAGCTTCTTAAACAGTCATTTTTCAAATCGTCAAGCTGACTATGAATACTGAACATTCACTTGACTCGAAAATAAAAAAAGCATTCTACAATTCTGTAGAATTTGACAATACACTTTCAATGCTTCGACAAATCTACCACACCTGAAATTAAAGAAAATCTGTTGAAAGTTGAATTTGAAAATTTGAAATTGAAAAGCTGATCTACAATTTCATAGGATGACATTAACCCTTACCGATTCGACAACACCCCTCCAACGTGAAAAATGTCAAACGAACTCCTCTACAGCCCTGAAAACTCACCCTCCAGCTCTGAACCACTCGGCAAGACGTTCAATCATCATCCACACAATTGCATCAATAAAAACAAAGCTTCTGTCAGCAAATAAAAGCTGCCCGAGCAAAGCGGCGCAACCCCGCGCCATTCCTTTGTCCGCTATCCACGAGAAACACGGAAACGCGATTGATCCTTGCTCGACAGGTATTATCCTAGACACTGCTATCAGCCTCTGGCATCATTAACCAGTTAACTAAGTTCGGCGAGTATACGCGTCACCTCGGAGCCCGAAGTAATACTAACGTTACAACTAATGAACTATTCATTTTTAAATAGACATGTAGTTTGACAAGTATTCGTGTTGAAACTTAGAACAATACCTATTGCTCCGACGATCAGCTATTTTTTCAAGCGGTTAGATAGTTTGACAAGCGTACCGCCAGCTGAAAAAGAATACTAGTTGTTTCAGCAATTACTAATTCTTCCAAATAAACATATAGTCTTCCATTTTTCTTGAACCATTTCCTCTAGTGTACATTATCAACATTTGATTCTATTCCGCATCCCACCAGAGATTTTCTCAGCTAGATCCCCGAGTGAACAGGTCGAGGCACGATGTACTCACTGTAAGGCGGTTTCTCCGTCTCCCAAATCAGCGTGCCCCGATGAAAGTACACCCTGCACCGTTTCTTCTTCACTATGAACGTGTTCAGGAGCACAGTCCTGGAGGACTGGTCCGTGATCTCCTGCATCATCTTGGCGAATCCTGGAGCCGTGTCTCGCACCGATGGACGACTCAACGGAGACACCACTTGAACATCATCCCGTCAAGACGATCGGATAAACGAGACAACGGGAGCAGTGCCGCGGAAGAGGAGAAATGAAAAAAACACTCCGCGAGCTAAAACACCGATAGACACGCTACCAAGGAACTAGCTCGCTCCACGGTACGAGCACGACTGCGGTAAACGATCGGCTCGATCAGGACTCGTGCCAGACCGTGGACGCTCGGCTTTCCCCTGTACAGTTTCGCGTCGCCAGTGATAGAGGGCCACTGACAGCTCTGGAACTCACAGCCGATATTCCCCACCAATGCTCGTTGCCGTGCGCAACCGAGACGCTCGAGACCTCTGCGTCTGATCATTGTATTTACCATTCTACTGCAGCCCTGAAGTTTTAATTAGGGACACTACAGCCCTGCGCGACGACCTTGCTTCGGGTTGGGCTCAGCCTCTGAGGTTCTACCGAGACCTAGTGCACTTGGATTTCTGAAATGCTTCGCGAATGAAATTCTTTGAGAACGTTTTGCAAACGTTGACAGGTAATTGTTCTATTGTAGCCTGCTGAAGTTTTCGTTGATGCTGGGGGTTGAAACTTTGGCTCGGATTGGGCATGGGCTCCGGGGTTTATGTGAGATTTAGCACATTCGGCTTTGAAAATGTTTTGAGAATGTTCTGTAAATGTTTAGGGATAATGGGGATTCTTGCTGTGAATGTTGAATAATCGACTTGTTATTCTTAAACATTTTGAGATAAGCAGTTCTGTATCTAGATCATGAAAGTTTAATTTAAAATAGAACACCTAGTAATTAATAAGAAGATGGAGATTTCGTTTTTGAGAAGCAATGATAAAAGGTAGATTGGAGTACATTCAGCGTGTCATAATTTGTTCATATCCTGCAACCCTGGAAGCTCTCCAGTCCTCCCTTTTTATGTTTGCGCAGCTCTCTGGCTACAATATCGCCGTTTCCATAGACACAGGCGCGCTGTCTCTGATTATACGTCGCGTACAGAGACCTAGCTTCGAAAAAATTAGAATTTCTCTTTCAATTTCTAACGCATTGTCCGATATCATGATCATAATCGAAGAATGCAGGGAGGAATCAACACAAAGGTATTCGTAATTCACTCTGAAATTCAAAATAGAAAAATAGTATCATCATTTTCAATAGCGTATCGATATCTGTCCGTGACAACGAACACTTCCAGCCAAGACGGTCTCCGAAGCGTGAAAAGGTCGTCGACTCCCTTTCCATTTCGACACAGCGAATCTGCGCTCGCAAGACTTGTTAACACGATGAGCGTTAGACAGTCCTAGTTTCAAGTTAGGAAAATTCCTTGAGACCATTAGAAATATCCAGCTTCCCGTTTGGTATGTCTGGAACATTTGTGCAAACTATTTATATTTTTCCTTTTAAAGAATAGGGAAAACTAAGGGTTTGGTGAATGTGCACATGGGAAAGACAGTAAAGCTTGACTACACGTGTCAAACAAATTATAAAGAACAGCTGGTGAGTCAGTATTATGCAACAAAAAGCGTCTGTCGTGTTGCTAATAATTAATATTTATTTCAATGTTTAATGATAATGCTGTATGATAGACATTGGGCGACATCTGCGGCAATCGGCCTAAGTTGTTTACAAAATCGATACAGATGTTTTATTACCGATGGTAAAATAAAGGTATCTGACTCCTCACTCCACTTGATGAGTTCAGATGTTAGTGGGGATGTCCTTGACCTCTCCATCGAAAACAATGCCCCGTTTAACAGTTGCAATCGATGATATTGTAGGAACCTTGTGTTCGTAATGATAAGGTATCTCCATCTCCTGTAAAACGCGCAAACTTTGCTGTCTAATAGTTCAGGCACTTTGCTATGGAGAACGCCACTGTCACTCGTGAACTCCCACATCAGTGACACGGATGTCGCTACCAGTCAAAAGCTGTAGCCTTGTTGGTAACGTCCATTTCTACTTGTAGATAAAGTTCATTTCTATTTGTTATTAGAAATTGTTTAACCTCACATTTTAAAATTCTTTTGTTAATATCCGTAATATTCTTTTTGTCAGTTAGTGACAAGCCACCATAGAAGTTGGTCGATAAAATATTTCATTATAATTTAGTGGACATTGTAAATAAATATATTGAATAAAGATACACGCCATCATTTTTGCTGTAATATCAATTGTATGGTATGTATTTATGGTGTTCCTATGGTTTATAGCGCTGCCATGTAAAGCTAGCCTTAGTCGATATGACAGAGTATGACATGAATATGGCAAGGGGTACTAGTACCCCTGAGAGCGTGTAACAAAACTTTACGTTGCATGCTATGTCTGTCCTATGCCTCGTCTGTGGTCTCGGATAGCTCCCTGAGTAGAGGTATTTGGGGAATCCTGTTTTCGAGTTACTAGCGTAAGGGAATTAAGTTAAATACTTCTATTGTATACTATTCGTTTAATCTGAAAATTAAAAAATTCAGAGTATTTATCCTATTATCTGTATATGAAATTGATTAACCGAGAATGTAGAGAATAATTTTTTAAGAGAAATACAACTTATTGAAAATTGCTTTAACACTTTTTTTTAAGGTTCTTTTACCACGTGATGCAGTCACATGATATGTGTTTTGATGTAATATGGCGCCTTTAATTGTTAGAGTGTAACAAAATTTCCGGAAGAATGTGAAATTTGCCGAAGTGTTGAACTTTAAACTCAACACAGAATGCCAGTTGATATAAACCGATTAACAGAAGGTTGGCTAGAATTGGAAAGTGACCCAGGTATGGGATTATGACCATAAAAGTATACTTTAATGACTATTGTTGCGAGGGTAATGGAATGAATTACAGGGTACAATAATTTTAGGTAATATCATTAAGAAAGGTACATTGAAGGAAATAAATCCTCATGGTTTAAAGTACAATGAATACAAATATTTACCTTTTTTTCAAATCAGTTACCATGTTTGTATACAATCACCATATGTTGTACTTATGAAACATGGAGTTTTTATGGCCTTTTATGGCATTAAGGGCTGAATATACAAAACACAGCTCATTTTATTTTAGTATTTTCTATTTTGTTTAGGATTATTTGTTCTAACCTTATTTTTTTATGTATTCTATGTATATTAAATGTATATTATTATACTTTTCTTTCTTAGGTTTGTTTACATTGCTCTTGGAAGACTTTGGAGTAAAAGGTGTGCAAGTAGAAGAAATATATGACTTGCAAAAATCTTTGGAGGGTCCTGTGTATGGATTTATATTTCTATTTCGGTGGATAGAAGAGAGGAGGTCCAGACGAAAAGTTGTAGAACAAGATGAAAGCTTTGTGAAAGATGAGGAAATCGTTAACAACATATTTTTTGCACAACAGGTTGTCATTTTATAAATATAATTTACCCGTTTTCATAAGATTAAAGGTTTTTTTAAGTAATTCTTTTCTTGCAGGTTGTGCCCAACAGTTGTGCAACCCATGCACTACTTTCAGTGTTACTTAATTGCCCAAATATCCATTTGGGTACAACTTTATCCAGATTGAAAATGCATACCTCTGGTATGTGTCCAGAAAATAAAGGTTGGGCAATTGGTAACACACCTGAATTAGCGTGTGCACATAATTCACATGCGATGCCCCAAGCTAAAAGACGTCAGGATAAAAATACTGGAGTGTCTACTGGTAGATTTACTGGGGAAGCTTTCCATTTTGTTAGCTATGTACCAATCAATGGTAGACTATTCGAATTGGATGGTTTGAAACCATATCCCATGGACCATGGTCCATGGAAGGAACATGAGGAGTGGACTGAACAATTTAGACGCGTAATCACTGATCGCTTAGGAATGGCAACAGGGGAACAATTGCAAGATATAAGATTCAATTTAATGGCTGTTGTTCCTGACAGACGGCTAGCTATATCTCATAAATTAACTATGTTAAAGACTAATAGACAGATAGTACTAGAGGCATTGCAACAGCTTGTTAAATTAAGTCATCAAGATGGAACTGAAAAGAATGTGAACGATTCAGAGAAATCAGATAAACATGAAAAAAAGAATAAAACTGATGATGAAAATGTGTTGCCTAATAAATCAGAAATTGATGAATCCTCTTCTGTGCCAGCTATCACTGTTGAAAAAAGTGATACTGTAGGTGATATTGAAGAATCAGGTTCAAATGTAACCTCTGGAAAGACTGAATCAAAGTAAATAAAATCTAGTTTAATATTCTTGCTTATTTAGTACTTTATTTATTCAAACTTATAAATAAATTGTTCATCAATAGATACACAAAATTGTTAGATAAAAGGTATTGTGATATTACAGTGGTATGGAGAAGGTAGTAATGTGTGCATTGGATTATGCCACTCCACTTCGAATTCAAACTTCACCAGCCCATAGCTCCTCGAGTACTGATACTTCATCTGAGATTGGGTCTGCGTTTAATTCTCCAACTCAAGGTAAGTGAAATAATATTTATGTTGTTTTACAGAGCCGTTTGGTTGTACAAACCTTTTTACTCTGACAAAATATTAAGTTATTTGGACATGCCAGTCGCGTAAATTTTAAATTTTGTGAATTATCCGAAGGAGAATAACAAATGTAATAATGTGCGTCTGATGTGGGGTCTTTTGTTTTCCCTCGTTCGGTACACACTTTCTGCAGCATGTTCACTTTCATTTTAGTATTACTATCTGGAACTTCTGCATTGTCTTGATTATTTTCCACACATTTGTTATAGCTTTCTCTATCGCATATTCTAGTATACTTATTAAATGCTGAGTAAGATGGACATGAATATTCAATTACATATACCCTTTCTGGCTCACACACATAATATTTAACGCAGTCAGTCGCGTTCGGCATTCGAACGTTTTTGACACATGGAATTACACTAATAAACTTTGGGTCCACGAAATAACCTAGTGATTTATAACTTTCAACTGTTAAATATTGCTTGTTTCCATTATTATTAGAAATTAAAATTAAACTATTTTCATTTTCTGAATCTCCAAGCAGTGCCTCCAGTGTATCGTTTACAGCTTCCATACTTGACACTGATGTATTCTCATTCTTCGTAGTTTCACTATGTTCAATTGTATTTTGCAGATTTGTAACAGCTCTGATAGTGGTTTGTATGTTCGTTTGTTGAATGAGATTTTGTGTGAAATGACTCATTAGAATATTGTGCTGATTGGTTTTAGAAACTTCTGATTGAGTTGTATCGTCACTTGTAATTCTTGAAGGCACTGTTAGTGATGCTAAAACTTCTAAAGGAATAGTGATCCCTTTATGAATCAACAAATGATACATTAAACGATTTAACATTGAGTACTCCCTTTTATAAGAACTCTGTAGATTATTAATTGTATTCAGTTTATCTGTTACTTTTTCTTGCTGATTATCCACTGCTTCCTCAATTTTAATTAACGGATATGGCGTCACTATTTCTTGATTAAGTGGGTCGAGAATGCTATCGGTAGTATAAGATGAATCAACGAGTTCAGAAAAGTTTGAAGGATCTTCTGTTGACCCCATATAACTAGTCTCATTTGGATCGATCAGTTCAGGTGTATCATACCTGTTTGTTATAATAGATGAGTCTGTTGATAGAGTGTCACATGTCCAAGAATCACCAGGTAGAATACACATTCGTAGATATGGTTGAAATACCTGAAACGAAACAATGAAACAATGTAAGTTATGAATAATCTTTGAAATAATAAATAATCTTACCAAGCCCTCTGTGCATTTTCTGGGTACCCAAACATAACCACCATCAGGCAAATTCACACAGTTATAAAATATAGTACAACTGGTAGAATGGGGTTTCCTTGATTCTGGACATTTTGACGATTCAACTGCAATCAAGATAGAGTAGAAAACGAATAGCGCCACGCTCATTTTGAAGTGTTACATCCACGTTTCTATAGCATACTGAAATTCAAGTCTCTTCTTGATGGTACCTATTTGCTTTTCACACATTCCCCCACATATCCTTTGACACCTCTCAGATACAGTTAGTTGACCCATGTAAGCATTTTTGTTCTGTTCTCATGGCATAATATGTACCTAAAGTAACTTTAGATTTAAAAAAAAGAGGACCTGATTATGTTTCCAGCATGGGGATGGAATTCTGGTCAGAGTAGTCCTACATCCACAAAAGACTTCAAGAAGTTTGTGGTGATCAGGGTCGCTGGAGATGAGAAACATGAAGCAGGTTTAAGTATGTACATTTTCACTATGATCCGCAATATTCACATTGCAGCATTATACGAAGTATGTTTCCACGAACAGGTCGTTCCTTAGGAAATATTAACATAAATGGAAAAAGATTAGTTTCTGACAGTGGTCACCTGCATAAAAAGGTCTGTTTATCTGGAGAAGTTAGGATACCTCATGCCAGAGTAAAAACCAGTAATGGCGACACCGTTACCGAGGAAAAAAAAGTTGAAAAAATTGATCCTAAATTATGTTCAAAGTATCCAGAATTATTTGAACCACACACGTTTGCACCCAAAGACCTTTTAGCGTTATTAAAGAACTTGGAGCATGAAATAAGTATTTGCGAAACCAGTTTGAAGGATGAGAACGATAAAAGGAACAAATACAAAGTAATATCGAACTTATAATGTGGTAATTTCTTTCAGGCATCAAGTAATAAAATTATTATTCAACGCTGTGTTTCAGATTGACGATTGTCGTAGAACACATAATTACGACGAGTTCATTTGCACCTTTCTTTCGATGCTCGCTCAACAAGGTAAATTAGCAGAACTGGTTCAACAGCACTTGACCTTAAAAAAGCATACTTCTGTGTCGGTGAACAGGGTTCACAGGTAACTAATCCACCGGCAGTTTTAATTAGAGATAGAAGCGAAAATCATGCCTGACACACGAAACGTTTGCAGGTCTTCAAAGAAGACAGACACACGCCCAAACTCCTCGCGTAGACGTCGGGGTAGAACCAAATGCAAGAAACGGAAATAAATTAAATTAAGATGAATATTAAAGTTGTCCCATTTATGGAATTGTCAATACTGCAAATAATTAACAAGAAAAAAATTCGCCACAAGCGCATAGTTTTACAAAGATAACGATAATATAAAAGGATCGATTGTTAAACTGATTTCATTGCACTTAAACATTTACTTGTCGCATTAACGATACCGAACGATCACTTTTCATTTTTCTTTCGAAATCAAGAAACTTGTACAAAGTGAAAATAACAGGAAAAGAAGTCCTTTCCCAGACAATCCTAGACATCGGCTGTGCTGTGCGCACTTCCGTTTCCGAAGTCTGAGACTTTTGCACGATCGACAGTTACACTTTACAATTGTACAAATTATCTTTACAAGATATTTTTTATATTTCTTCTCGTATTAATGCGTGATACCCGTTTGCCATCGCACGCGTAAACATGGACATTACGAGTCCTACTGGTACCCTTTTAGGTACGTTTCAATAAGTTTTATCTTTACATCTGACTTTGTTTTCGTACGAAATATATGGTTTCCTAGATACGAATCATACCCTTTTAATAGCCTCCATTCTCCAACAGTTGTCACCAGGTTTCACGCGTTCGTTGGATCTTTCGCAGCCTGAAACGGACAGGGAAAGCGGTGCGACGATTAAACAACACAAACGACCGGCTATTGTCAAAAACATTGAAAATATTTATTTCGGTATTCATATACAAGTACACTACACGCTGTGGATATGTCACTTATATCTAAATACTTATATCTCCGTACAGCCGGAGAGAGGAGGATCAAGAAACTCGTAATTGGAATCATGTTTATCTCGCGGACACAACGGTCGACCGTCTAAGTCGCTGTACGATATTAAACTGTATTAGGAACTGTATTCATAACGTCCTCGAAAGAAGCTATTATCCAAGGGATAAGGAGGGCGGTTAGCGGAAAGGGATGAAGAGGGGGGGTACGATCAAACGATGGGAATTGAAGTTCCTTCTCCGGCCGGTGTTCTCACGCGCCTTTTTCCGTCGACGATTGGTGGCCGCGTTTATCGGCACGAGGCGGCGGCATTCCCGACAAAATTTTACGAAAGTCTCGTTTCATGTAAATACAAGTAATCGTTTCACGGACGCCGTGGTCGAAGCTCGCGCGTTTCCTCGCGGGCAAAATCGTGGGGGGCTGGGAAACGTCGAAGATCATCTTGGAATCTTTTTTTTTTCCTTTTAACGCTATTTACAGAGAAAACGTGACGGGTAACTGCCATCCCTTCGAGAACTGCGATTCTCGCGGGGGTTGGAGGGCGACGAGGGGCAGTTTCGCCGCGAATTTCGTTAGTATAGGCACTCGTGTGTGGTCGCGCCACGGCGAATCAGTTGCGCGGACGATGCGACGATCGAGCTTTTTTCTTTTTTTCAGAGTGAAAAATTATCCGCAAGATGAGGGGGATGAGGGTTGACTTATAATATATCTCGAAAGTTCTCGCGGCAAGATGAATCGAACTCGTCTAGAAGAGGCTAAAACTTTGAGATGATTAGAATGGGTCTGTCAGCGTGATCCAAAGAGATGGAAAGAACATAGATTGCGGATAACTTTTAACTGATCGTGTATTTCTGTACATTTACAAAAGATAGAAGATTCGAAACGAAGCGCCGCGTCGATTGGTCACTTTTTCCGTTCTTTTTCTTTTTGAGCATCGAGCCACGACTGCACTCAAATGTCGTCACTACTTGTTCCGTGAATGTTTATAATGGCGGCTGATCGATCCATTGCTCTTCGGCTATCCATTCGCAGAACATTGTTTCCATGCGATAATAATAATAATAATATAATAATAATATAATATAAACATGCCGTATAAAATATAGAAAATTCACGCGAGGGATGTAACGTAAAAAAAAGAATATAGGGATGGGGCAAAGGGGAGAAAAGAGGACGAAAGGGGTGGGTGGGGGTTAGGACAGATAAACACGGACGAGATCTTTCCGCGAAGAACGCCGATTTACGATAAAAACAGTCTTGTGATGTGTCTTCTTCAAGATACCTTAACCGAATGAATGTGTGTTTACGCGCCGGGGATCGACGGTTCCGATCAGCTCAGAATTCCTTCTGTCTCCCTCTTCAAACATTATAAAACGTCACGAAAAAGTAGTGAACGCTGGATGGTTTTTTTGTTTCGTTTTCTTTCTCTTACTGCGGTCTCGATCGTTCATCGTTCGCGAGGTTTGTTCCCCGTGACATAGAAACGGAGCCGAGGAAAAATAGTGTTCCCGGTCGAAAATCAGCTCGTGTTCGTCGGTTCACGCGCGGACATACTATTTCACGTGGCTCCTTGTAGGCGATTAACAATAATAAATAAAGGTATAATGCTTTACAAATAGAGCGGCAATCGGTTAACGCTTCGAGCCTGGTGGTTGCGCCACCGCGTTCGAGTAAACCGAATAAAGGTCACGATGACAGTGTCACCCGTTGACAATCTTTCGACAGTATTTTAAGAATTAATGATTTCAATTAAGCTCTCGATACAGCTTCCGAGTCGTGTCATTTTTCGAAATTATTGTGTGAAAGGAAATTATTAAGCGTGTTATACAATTATGTTTTCAACGAGTAAACTGTCAACAGTGATCTATCGATTTAATTCCATGAAAATCAATAGTGTATCGAATTTAAAACTGCTCGTTATCGATTCGAGCAGTCTGTTTTTGAAAGTTACAACGGTTAATGTTCCCAAATCGTTCGAACCGATGCTGCTACAGGCTC